TGAGCATTCTTCCTGCTGAGCCATCTCTCCAGCACCCCTCTTATACCACACATACCTTAAAAAAAAAAAAAAAAAAAAAAAAGACAGGGTCTTATGTATCCAGGCTGGCCTGGAACTCACCATATGGCTGAGGCTGACCTTGAACTCCTGATCCTCCTGCTTTTAGCTCCAAGATATTGAGACAACAGATATGGGCCACTAAGTCAGGTTAGGATGGAGGCATGATTCCATGACACCTACATCCTAACCTAGATTCACAACTCAATCAGTATGTGAGATTAAAGAGAGAGAGAGACAGAGGAGAGAGAGAGAGAGAGAGAGAGAGAGAGAGAGAGAGAGAGGCATTATTTCCTTAGTCTAGGGAGGAACATAGTAACATGACCTTGTCTTCAACAAAGTTCATGATAGAGAACATCACAATTAGTTGGTGGGTGGGAAACAAAAAAAATATAAAACTGAGTTTTAAGTGAGTTCAGGATTTATGTCTGGCTACACTAATGGCTGTCCTAGGGAGCATGCAGCTTGTGGGTCTCGGGTTAGACTTTGGAGAGGTGCAGCACAGTTCAGTAACACACACACACACACACACACACACACACACACACACACACACACACACACACAAAAGCAGCACAAAATACTGGGTCAAGTGGCAGCCTGGACTCTGGACTGTGTTCCCAGATTGATGTTGATGAAGTGAGTGCTAGCATGTTGCTTGTGAGGACCAGTGATAGAAACCCATCTGAAGCAGGAAGGGAAAGTGCAGATGATACTGGGCAGGAGGCTGGATGGGGTGCAGAGTAGGGCTGTGCACCTGGAGATCTAGGCCACAGACTCCTGAGGCCACAGCTGGGTTGGGTCGAAACACACATGACCAGGACTGATGGTAATTAGTTGAGTGGCTGAGTCTCTTTGTGTCTAGGGCTCATCCTCTGAGAATTCAGACAAAATACTTACCCAGAATTGCATTTTCAGGAGGAGACAGGTAACTATGAGGCAGAGTTTATAGCACCCAACAGGTGGGACTAGCTGAATTTGCCTTGACTGTTACGCTAGTGGGGGGTCCAGGGGCTGCCCTGATCAGCTGGCTTTTGCATTCTTTCCTTCCTTTTTTTTTGTGGTGCTGAGGGTCAAATCCAGAACATTATGTTTTCTTTTCCTTCCCTCTTTCATCCTTTATTTCTTCCTCTCCTCCCCCTTGACCTCCCTATTCTGCAGAAATGAGCTGGAAGAAAAAGCAGGCGTATTTACCCAGCTTGCTCCTGAAGGCTTGGTTGGGATGGTGGTCTGTAGCCAACAGGTGTAGAAAGGCTGAGTCTGTCTGCCGCTCTGGACCACTAAGAAGGCAAACTGAGTAGGCAGCTGAGTTCCAGAAGATTCCCAAACAACACCAGTCAAAATTCTCTGAGGTGGCTGTCCCTGTCTATTCACTTCATAGGTTAGACCTACAAAGCACTGAGGACTTTGGGCACTTCCCATTGACAGCCAATGAGAAAAGCAGATCCATTTAAACAGTGGATCAGAGCTTTCTCATGATGTAGAGGGATTGAGTGGAATGGGGAGTGCTCCCAGGACTGACTGGTTGATGTCCCGATGTGGCCATCTAGGTGCATTATAATTTACATTCTATACATTTACCTGTGCTGAGGTTAAGAATGAAGGCAAGACAAACTTGACCCTCAAAGGCTGAACAGAAGAAAGCAGCTAGCTCTGTGCACAAGTGTGTGTCCCTAGTGAAGAAGTGGAATTCAAAACCAACCACACCCCCAGCAAGAAAATGAGAGGACCTGGCAGGCTGGGGTAAGGATGGCCTGGTCCCTCCTCTATGATAACATTGAAAATACTTTCTTTGTTAAGAGAACACACCTGAACTGAGCTCTCTTCACTTTTCCCACTGGAATCCAATGAGAGGCTGGGCAGGTAAATCCTTCCAGGTGCCTCATGTAATGAGAGGTCCCATGCCAATTTCCAGACTCCTGTATGAAATCAAGGCTTTGTCCAGGTTCTTTCATGGAGAAGAAAGGGATGAAATGAACGCTGCCCTCCGAGGGGCCAGGCAAGCCCACATGAATATGTTTTGATTCCTGAGGCACAAAACCATTTATTTGAGGGTTCATTTAGGTATTTAGAGCCATGCACATACAACACGTTTCCATCAACATGAATAGCTACCAATTGTTGCAGCAGATTAATCTTTTACAAGCTTGTCAGCAGTGAGGTGAGGTGAAATAGGAGACTTTGCCCTATGTGAACCTTCCGAGGACAATCAGTTCCCACATTGGATCTTGCCCACATCCATCAACTGCCACTTTCTCTATTTGTGTAATGGTGCCAGCTGCCCCCTGCCACCTCTGCCCAGATGAGGAGGTTTCTCTGATCAGCCACCTGGGTGGGGTATGCTGCCATTCTCAGTTTGGAAGGAGAAGCCTATCAATCTGCTGCCTGGGATGAGATACATCACCCAATTGCCATTTGCTGCCCCCCCCACATGCAAAAACCATCAATTGCATCTCAGCTCATCAGAGTTGGCACCACCTGCCACTTCCTTTCTCAGTGGTAATTAACATGCTGTAGCTCGCCATTGATTGATTCCAAGCAGCCTGATGCTGCCAACGAGGAGGTCTAAATGAAATGCTACAACCTGATAGGATTTTTCACAGTTTTAGCAACACGAGAACTTATTCTTATTTTTATTGCCAGACTGCAGTAGTTGGGGAGAGCTTTTTCTTTCTTTTTCGGTTTTTTTTTTTTTTTTTTTGGTTTGGCTTGTCTTTGGGGATGGCAGTGAGCTCCTGACCTGTGTATCTCTTTGTAAATGAAAAGGACAAACCCCTTTTCTGCAGCCTAGCACCCAGCACCCCACCAGTACTCAGAGAATGCTGAATAAGTAGATCAATAGATGGACGGTTGGAGAGACCACACTTAAGAATAATTCTTGATCCAGCGTGGGTAAAATTCTGAGCTTGTGACTATCAAAACCTGTCTGGCTTGATTTCGACACTGTGGGAGGCCGGCTGTGAAATATGACCCAAGGCTGGAGCTTGATGTCGGTTTTTTCTTGACTTTCTTCCCTGGGGCTCTTCTGTATAGCAGGACTGAATCCTTTCCCAGTCCTGCTCTATTGCACAAAGAAACAAAGCAAGATGTGCTTTGTGCATTTTGAGAGTCTGGAACATTCTCCATTGTAAGGAACCAAACCCTTTTAAGCAGCCCAGCAACCACAGTATAATAACCCAACCGTAGGACCAAGATTACCTTCTCTCCTGGCCATTTTGAGAGAATCCCTTTTAATATAACTAATTAAGACAAGTGCCAATTGTTATTCACGATGACACCCTAAGTACCCCAACTCAAATCCTCTGTTAAACACACACAGACATCAAGCAGTGTGCTTTCATCTGACTGGAAAATGAAAACTGAAGTTACACATCTTTCTCAAAATGAGCTCATTTGTGTGTATCCAATATTCTTCTCAATGTCTGGGGGCTGAAAAAAATATTTTTGAGACAAGGTCTGGCATGGAACTCTTTATGTAAATCAGGCTGTCTTTGAACTCATAGAGATCCACCTGCCTCTGCCTCCTGAGTGCTGGAATTAAAGCTGTGCACAACCATGCCTGGCTGAAAATATTTTGGATATCTTTATACATCTTTATTACTATGCAAATCACTGCCTCAAACATCTCGGCATTATGTTACAGTAATGTCTTTGTTTTGAAATCCCCTAGACTATCATTTGGAGAATCAGAATGATGGGAAATCACATGACCCATGTCCACCAAATATGTAAATAAATAAAAATAAGTAGCTAAGAGTGGAGGACTTGTAGGTTAGTAGGTATTACTACTAATTAGTAGTAATTAGTATTAGAACTGAATACACTAGAAGACTTGATTCTAGAAAATAAAAATAAAGCAGAAAAAAGGAAGGAGTAAAGGAGGGAGTAAAGGCAACTGTTGGACTTCAGTGTCCCATAGAGGGTTGTACTTAACTACTCCCCAGAATGCTAGCTGACTGGTGCCATCTATCTGCATCTACGACTGGCTTACCCCCAGGCAGGTCGGATCATACAAACACCTTTTTAGATGGAAGTAATCAATGAGTCAGCTTAGACAGAAAACGCCAGTCACCAGTTATAGCCAACAGCTACAAAGCACCTTTGTCTAAAGAAACATTTAAATACTCATGGCTATGAGTGGCCAGATACATACTCAAGAGTCCTTCAGTCTCTTTCATCACTAGCAGGTTAAATCTTTTAAGAATTCCATAAAAGGAGAACAATCCAATATCTTATGGCAAATACTTCAACACGCTCTACCTTTGTCTCTGTAGCACTGCCCAAATACTCAAGGACACCCAACATGTGGGTATGGCCACTCCATTCACATTTTTTTTTTTTTTTTTTTTTTTTTTTGCAAATTTAAAAGGTCTCTCCCTCTCCTCTCTCTCTCCCTCTCTCCTCTCTCTCTCTCTCTCTCTCTCTCTCTCACACACACACACACACACACACCCGGACTCAGTTTGGAGTTTGATAAATGTGGGTGCTGCCCTCAGTTCTACCTGGAAGTTGGAAGTGGTTTTGTCTTTGTTTCAAAGAGGCCATGCACTTAAGATAATGATAAAGGACCATGGAAAAGCCACCTCTCCTGGTACCACCTGTGTTTTTTAGTAGCAATGTCAGCTCACCAGTTTTTGTCAACAAATGAAAGCTTCCCTTCTGTCATCACCAAAAACTCAAAAAACACTGTAAAATCATTCATTTCCTAAAAGCACTTATTATGGTCCAGGGCTAGAAGCAGAGCATTGTGGGAATAACAGGCTTCAAAGGTAATGGATTTGGTGAAAACCAAGAATCCTGCTGGCATGAACTTAAAGTTTTATTTCCTTTTTGCCTTTATCAAAAAAAATTAAATTAACTCTCATTGCTTATGTATATTATATTAAGGCTTACAAATATACCTGGTAAATTAAATTCACCCTGTATTGAATTAACACCTGCTATATGAGTTATTGGCTTTATTTAATCAGTAATCTCGGGGTTTCTCTGCTTTCTCTGGAAACACAATTTAAATATTAAGCTAATCTTTAAACTGCCGCTGCCGTGTCCTGACATTTGGAAACTGGTCAGCCGTGCAAAAAAGACAAATATGGGCGTATTAATGAAAAGGCATTTCTTAAAAGTCTTAAAATATGTAACTCAATGAATTATAAAGAAAAATGACAAAGGCAGCTGGGAGGTCAAGCCTGTGTGACTTTCCAGGGAGCAAACAATGCTGGTCGTCTGCCAAGATCACCTGCACTGCCAAGCTCAAGGGCCTTTGTCACTTTGTCATGAAAGACTTTGGAAAAAAATCTTGGGAAGACATAACAGATATAAGACCTACAAGAGATGTTTGTTTTTATGAGACAGGGTCTCTTTGTATAATGCAGGAACAAACAGCAATCCTCCTGCCTCAGCTTTCTTCAAAAGGGATTACAGATGTGACCTACCATATGGAGCTCATATGAGAGGCATTTAATTTTCTTTCTTTCCTTTTAAGCAGTAAGGTCTAAATTCAGTGCCTGGGTGAGAAAGCCTTCTTGGCTCTCTGGCTTCAGTGGGGGGAAGGGCACCTCAAGTCCTGCTGAGCTGACAGCCTCTGGAGAGAACGAAGTTTTCAAAGTGTTGGTCTTGGGTTCTTTCTTTGATGCGCTGTTCCTCTAGGGAATCCACAAGCTTGTTTCTCTGCTCAATCACCTGCATCATCTCCTTGAATATTTCTTGCTCCTCCTTTAGATCATTCTCATCTTTCTGGCCCTCTAAAGAAACAAAGAAGAAAAACTAAGTGCTCATTCAGTAAGACTGGGGCCGGAGGAATTCTTAGCGTGGGAGTTCACAATTGTCCTGGGCTTCATTACAAGGAAGTGAATTTAACACCGGGGAGCTGCTCTTAAAGCTACAGAGGAGAAAGGTGGGCGCCTTGTGCTGGAGTCAGCTTAGATTTCACTAGTGCATTTGTGTGTGTGTTTGTGTGTGTGTGCATGCGCACACATTTACCATCTCCCCTCCTGATTCTCCTGCTTCCACCTCTAAAGTACTGGGATTATAGGCATGCACCACTATGGCATGTGTGTGGAGGTCTAAGGACAACTTTTAGGAGTTGGTTCTTGGGTTCCACCTTATTCTAGGCAAGGTCCCTCTTGTTCTTTGCTGCTAGGTTACAGGTATGCAAACACCATGGCTGCCTTGTATACCTTTTTATTATTATTATTATTATTCAGTTTTTCAAGATAAGGTTTTTCTGTGGTTTTGGAGGCTCTCCTGGAACTAGCTCTTGTAGAACAGGCTGGACTTGAACTCACAGAGATCCACCTGCCTCTGCCTCCTGAGTGCTGGGATTAAAAGCATGTGCCACCACCCCCCGGCTTTGTATACTTTTCTTAATAGTGCTATATAGTGCAGCCCTATAGGGTTTCTTAGAAATAGAAATGACTCAGCAGATAAAGATGCTTGCTATTAAGCCTAATGACCCAAATTCAATTCCTAGGACCCACCTAGTGGAAGGAAGAGAACCAACGCACACAAACTGTCCTCTGACTTCCACATATGTGCTGTGGCATGTGTGCCCCCCACCCACACACAAATAAATGGAAGTGTAGTTTTCTAAAAAGAAAGAGTCTGGCTGGGTATGTCGTGCTTGCCTGTGACCCCAGTACTTGGGAGGCAATTTAAGGCCAGTCTCAGCTCTAGAGGGGGACCTTGAATTAGACAGAGAGAGAGAGAGAGAGAGAGAGAGAGAGAGAGAGAGAGAGAGAGAGAGAGAGACAGGAGCTATTAAATAGCTTCCATGGAGGGAGATGAGTTTGTGGTCTCCTGCTAAACTGGAGCCCAGCTCTCACCTTGAGCTCATTATTTCTCTTCACTAAGACTTGGTTTTCAAATCTCAAAATGGGAATAAAATACTTAACCAAAAATAATGATGTCTACTATGTAGTATGCATTCCCAGTACCAGGTAACCCAGTGAGGCTGGGATAACGCTGGCTCTATGAGATCTAGAAGACTTGTAAGATGTCAGTGTAAGAAAGTCATCATAGACCAGGCCCATAATCCCACAAGCACACCTCAGAGTGAGTGCTCGTATGGCTGGAACCAATGAATTCATAAAGCACCGTAGGACATTTTTCTCACGCACAGTGCCCTGCTACAGTCCCGGCCCATGCCACCAGGGATTATTCTTATTACCATTCCTAGTGCCCACCAGAGCCAGGCCTGGCTTCTCTGTGGCCCCCCAACAACTGTTACAGTCCTCAAGTTCTGTGATAACTGATCTGGCTACTGGTCTCCCCACTGAGAGCACAAACTGTCGGTGGGGAGGGGCTGGTCTTTGCCATGTGCCAAACCTGTACTACCTTTTCAATCAATATTTGCTATGTGAAAGGATAACTAGGTAAAGAGACAGGCACCACTGGGCTTGCCGGCCAAGGTGGCACACACCCAGAAACCCAGCAGGTGAGAGACTGAGCAGTATGGTTTTAATAGGAAAATCTTCCCCACAGGCTCCTGTGTTCAACACTTGGTCCCTACCTGGTGACATTGCTTAGGAAGGTTTTCTGATCTTTTGGGAGGTGGGGCCTCACTGGAGGAACTGGGTCACTGCCGGGAGAGGGATGAGGTTTATAGTCTTGCCCTACTTCCTGCCCCGTGTCTGCTTCCTGCTCTGCTAAGAGCTGCATGCTCCTCCCATCAAAGACCCACCAGTCACCATCCTTCCAGCTGTGGAGGACCACGCCTCCTCAAATTGTGAGACCAAACAAACTTCTTCAGGTGTTTAGTCACAGCTGGGAGGAAAGTAATGAATATACAGAGGCAGGGTGTTCAAGGTCAGTTTGGGCTGCACAACATGAGTCCGCATTAATGAAAATGCACTTAAAAATTAAATAAGTGGCTTTATTCCTATCAACACATGGGATGAAGGAAATGTGGCCCTCACAAGTGAATGACACCAACTGGAGACCTGCTGGGCTTCAGGGGAGGTCAAGGCACAGGCTGACTTTGTGCTCTCTCAAACTGGTGGCTGCCCAAGCAGGGATGGGGTGCCCTGCTTAAATGTCCTGGGGTCTGCGTGTTTTCAGCAGGGACCCCAAATGTGCCCCATACTCACCATCCTTGAGCATTTTCTGTCGTAGTTTCTGCTCCAGTCTGCTCTGCTGATCTTCTAGTTCCAGCTCTTGGGCCCTGAGTACAAGAAAATGTTCCAGCTGTCAATAGGGGATTATGTGGGAACATGAAAGGAGGCACCCACAGCCAGGAGCAACAACAGTCTCTTTCCCCATTAAAGCTGGCATCTTCTAATATCTCTAAGTAGAAGGCATTGCTACTGCTGGGACCACTAGAGGTGTCTAGAAAGATGACTGAGATGTGCTGGATTTGAGAGATGATGAGACAGCTGGAGACCACCACACTGTTCTTTAGGGTTTGCCTCTGTGGGGACCAGCAGAGCAGGGAATGGAGTTGAGTCCTCTTTGACAGTCAACTGAGGACTTGACTTTTCAGAGCCTGGTGATGTCTCGGGCATTCCTCGCCGTGTGGCTCCCCAGATGTTGGCCCATGCATTGTTGGGGGGACTCCTACATGCCACTCTGGAATTCACCAGAGAAACAAGGAACCAGACAGATGTGATGATGTCAAGAGGTGAGAGTCGCACAATCCTTAAGAAAAGACTGTAGAGAAAGAAAAGTGTTGAGGGGAGAAGAACTGAATGCCCCCAAGGGTCACATGCAGCACATGCACAGGGTCTAGAGGGTGAGGCCACTGCTCCAGGGCCACAAAGAGAAGGCCAAGGGTTGGGAATGGGCCCCACTGTTCCTCCTGTCAGGACATTCCCTTCCAGACCTGACCTATAGGTACATGAGTGCCTGTGACAGTGTTGAGTCACTTTATTCTACACTGTCGTTGCCATTAGTTTTCATATTTATGTTATTTCTTTGTTTTTGAGATGGGGTTTCATACAGTTCAGGCTGGCCTCAGACTTGCTATGTCACCTTGAACCTCTGCTCTTTCTGCCACCCCCTCTACCCCTACATGCAATTACACACGTGTGCCACTACCCCAGTGGTGCTAGGGATTGAACCCAAGGCTTCCTGCATGGTAGGCAAGCACTCTACCAGCTGAACTACATCCCCAGCCCTGCTACTACCTTTTCTTTTAAAGTTGGGGGCTGGAGAGATGGCTCAGCTATTAAGAGCATTACCTGCCCTTCCAAAGGTCCTGAGCAACCCCGTAGTGGCTCACAATCACCTGTAATGAGATCTAGAGCCCTCTTCTGGCCTGTAGGCACACATGCAGGTAGAACACTGCATACATAATTAAAAAAAAATTCTTAAAAAAAAAAAAAAAAACACTGAAGTCCCACCTTATTAGTGACAACTGGGTCCTATGTAGGAGCTCAGCTGGGGTGGCAGCTCAGATCTCACAGAGTCTTTGGGAGAAGCTTCATGACAAGGAGGCTGCTATAGGATCACCTCCAATGTCATGTCGAAGCCCTGTTTTTCCTGGGTGATTCCCAGACAATGGCTAAGCATCATAGAGGTGTAAAACCTGGCAACTCCTTCCAAACATGGAGCCCTCTGATGGGCTATTCACACACAGAACTTCTCCTGCCCAAGTCTCCATCCTCTGTTTTTACAAGGAATCAGAACTGCAGTGCAGGCCCAAGACTCTATTGCTACCCTGGCTTCTTTCTCTTTATCCTTCACAGGTGTCATCCCCAAGGAATCTTACATACCACTCATTCTGTCTTCCTAAAAGGTCTGACCTGACATGCCAATCTAAGACATCTCTCCTTGTTCATACAGTACTTCCTCCAAACAAAACCTTCAACATGTCTCTGTCTGGAGCATACACCCCAGTTGTCCTATTTGACCTCTTATGGAGGAGAAGGTCCTTGGCTAGAGCTCTCTCTTGTGAAGCTAGCTTCTGGCCTCCTTCTTCCCCAAGACAGACTCTTGCATCCTTCATGAAACTCTTGATGGGCTTTCTTATTGCCATTGGTCACTTCTCTGCCCCGCCCCTACAACCTGTGAGGTGCTGGGGTTCATGGCTTGTGCCACCATGCCTGGCTATGGCCTGTTTCTATAGAAACCAGTTGAGTTCCCAGTACAAAGATGTTCTTGATAAGTTTCTGTTGAAAGGACTTTATAATTCAGACCTAACTCCATTGCAGACAGTATGGCTGCATATAAGGCAGATATGAACACACATTACTTAATTTCTTTGAGGATCATTATACTCATTAAAAAAAAAGTCCAGAAACAAATGATTACTTGAGAAGATCCCCCTTTTTCATTCTGTGTGGATGGAGAGTAGTGAGTGTAACTCCTGGACTCCTACTCCAACCCCTCCCATCCCCATTCTCAGGTAGATTTTGGAAAACTAGAGGAGGCATGTTCACCTGCCTTCTCCTCTCTCAAGCTCAGTCTATCTTCAGCAAGCATGTGTTCTCAAGCTCCCTAGGCTTGGTAAGATTTCACAGTGCTGCTGGCTGGAGGCTGCTGGCTCCTTGTAGGTGGGAAGGGGGAGCTGTCCTGTGTATTATAGTAAGAAAGCTTAGCATCCTTGGCCTGTATTCACTAGCCTTTAGTCACAGCCTCACATGTGACAATCAAACACATCTTCCTGGCCTTTGCATAAGTCACCTCTCCACCCTTGAGACCCAAGGTCTAGCTAGGATAAAGCCTTTCCCCTAAGAATCAAGTAGGTCCACTTTCCTTTTTCACGATGTAGATACATCCAATTGTGAGGTTTGGCTAGTGGCATGGGTTGAATAAGAAAAACGTGTCCACATCCTAAGCCCTGGAAACAGTGAATGTGATGTTACTTTAAGAGGGGTCTTTGCAGACATGGTGAAGGACCTTGAGAAGGTTAAATTCTGATTCTATGGGTGAGCCATCAGCCCAACAAGACTTTAAGAGAGACAGACAAGGAGGAGACACAGACACACAGACAATGCCATGTGGACATGGAGTGACACAGCCACCACCAAAACCTGGAGCCACAGGAAGTGGAAGAGGCAAGGAAAGCATCCTGGAGAGTGTCTGGGAGAATGATGCTCCCTCGGCACCTCCACCTCCGTGTGGGCTTCTGCCTTCCCTGGGGGAAATGTTTCTGTGGTTGTCTATGTGTTAATAGCTAGCAAGGGTCTGGGTTCTCACCCTCAGCCACTAGTCACCTTTAATAACAAAGGTGATATTTGCTTATCTATTTCTCACCTGGTTCAGAACCTGCAGGGAAGAGTGGACCCTTCCTCTAAAGCTCCCCAGACTGGAGTAAAAATAAAACCAACAGCATAAATGAAAACTCCTGCATAGTTCTGGAGCTTGGTGTTTTACTCTCCATGCTGTATTCTTTCTCTCCAGAATGCTGGCTGGTACAGCATCCTTTGTCTATTTCAGGAACGTGTGATGAACCATAATCTTCATTTTGGCCATCTGACCAGGCCACCAGTCCTTTGTCCAAGAAGAGACACAGGCAGATCCCAGACAGTGTTCAGCCCTTCTTTCATTAAAGCCGCCAGGAAGTGGTCAGGCAGATTTCCCATGGTTCACACACAGGCCAAGCACAGCTTCCCCACTGATGGTGTGTGACTGGGGGCCATGAATGGGATGGCTTCCTTCTAGCTCCCTACCTGCTTCTAAAATCTATTTTAGCCACTGAACTCCGAAGACAGCGCGGGCCACTAAAGAGTCTTCCCACTAATGCCAGCATGATATGCAAGACACAAAATACCAATTTGCCTCAATCACTGTTCCGTATGCACAAAGAAGAAAAACCCTGGGACTCCAGCCAAGGACGGTGAGCCACCCGCTCCTGCTACCAGGCTGTTAGCACTCACTGTTATCTGTGTTGCCTTACTTACATGATCAGTAGCTCCGACTCATATCGCATTAATTTATTCTTCTCCAGAACCAGCTTAAACCATTCCTGCAAAAGCTGGGCTTCATCCTGTGTCTCTGAATCTGCTTAAGAAATCAATGACAAATAGGTTAGATTGCATTTCTCACCCCATGATCAAACTGCTTCCGAGCCACTTTAGTAGGCCATGTTTATGGCAAGCAGGGCTCAGCAGGAAGCAGCTCCTGGCACCCTGTGGATACCTCAAGGTCATGGGCATCACAAATGAAACCCACCTGTGTCTGCTCTGAGGGAGTCTTCCTGGGCCTGGAGGACATGACTACTTCAATTCCAAGGTCACATGCCTATGATGACTAGTGTCCTACTACAAAGGACTCATCTCCAGCCTACTTGTGTGTCCATAAAACTGATGTGCGGTTCTGCTTCAGAGAAGCCCTAGCTGCCTGCCAGTGACCTTTCCCCTCTGTAAATCCCCTCTGTAAATCAAATGCAGACAGAGGGCCCAGGTGGTGCCTGGTCCTTTCCCAGGCCAGGGATGCTTACAACTCATTTGATCACAGACAGGTGATGGCATTTTGATTTTTTTTCTCCTGAAGAAAAGCCAAATGATGAAAAAGGATACAATTAGGACTGCATCGCACAGAAGATAAATTTGTATTCCTATAGTATTACAGTATAGATATTTCCCTTTATTAAAGAGACATAATTGTGCATCCTGTGCATGCCTGCTGCCCACGGAGGTCAGAAGAGGACAACAGTTTCCCCAGGAACTGGTGTTGCAGACAGTTGTGAGCTGCCCTGTGGTGCTTGGGATCAAGCCTGGGTCCTCTGGAAGAGCAGCCAGTGCTCTTAATCAGTGAGCCCTCTCTTCAGCCCCTAATTCAAGATTGCAAAAAGAATTTTGTTCATTTGGTTTCTACCAAAGTCAGGGATAGAGTGACATATTCCCTATCTTGAGAAATTTGGAGAGAGTTCAGTGTATCTATAAACAGTAGTGTCCGATAATCTTTGTGACCAAATTGACTCAAAACTCAACAAAATCTCCCTCTGGAAATATAGAGGAGGCAGGGGAGACTCTTTGTCCTGGTTGTTGGACTTCATATTCACTCACAAAGGAACTCTGGCTTTCCTCCATAGTGATGGTGCAATGGTGTTCCATGTTTTGTTTAGGTAGTGAGTCCTTTTCTTAACCCACTTCCAGCCTTGTGTATAACTTATTAAATACCATCTTGTTAGCTGAGTGTGGAATGGCACACCTGATATCTCAGCACTTGGGAGGTCCACACAGGAAGATTGCCATGAATTCAAAGTCAACCTGGGCTACATAGTAAGTTCCAGGCTAGTCTGGACTATGTAGCAAGATCCTGTCTCAAAAAACTAACTAACCAATTAACTAACTAAATGAATTAAATACTAACTTGTTTGTTTTGTTTTCTGTTATAGGGGAATCTCTTGACTATTTTACCCAACTGACACATTTCTTTTTTCTTTTTAAAAAAATGTCTCTGTGTGAGTGAGTACATGTGAGTGTTGGTGTCCTAGGAGTCCAAAAGAGGAGTTCAGATGCTCTGTAGTTAAGAGTTATAAGTAGCTGTAAATCCTCTGATGTGGGTGTTGAGAACTGAACTCCTGTCTTCTACAAGAGCAATATTTGCAATTAACCCTTTTTCTGTGGTGACCCCCACACACACCACACAACACAGACATACACAAAACACACACAACACACACATACCACACAATACACACACAGAAACATACAACACCCATGCACAGCACACACACAATACACACTACACAACATAGTAACACACACAACACACACACACACACACACACACAATTTAAAAATAGTAAATTCTTTTAAAACAAAATCTAAATTCAAAGCTCTTCATTTTATCATCTATCCAGAGTCAATTTCTTCTGGATGTTTGTTTAATGTTTCTATATTAGGAACCGTTTTCCACGATAGAGAAAACAGAAAAGCTGCGAGCTGCAAATGCTGCTTCTCCTTATCGTCTAACACGACACCATCTGCCACCAGCTCTGGGCTTCCCCTTCCTTGTCCTCAATCCAAAAGAAACAGCTTTAAAGCACTATTTTGCTGTCTGTAGAGAATCTTTTGCTTTTGTTTTTCAAATTCAGTCGCTCTGCTACATGAATCTGCACAATCTAGTTAGATCGGTACCCTGTATAATCATCTTGCTTCCCTTGCTTCCATCAGTACCCTGTATAATCATCTTACGTGTCCCTTCTGAAACTCTCTCTCACAATGGACTTGCCTATGTCACAGCGACTTCCCCTGCCACACATGGAACAAACACAGGATGAACTGAGACACTTAATTTTCCTTTATCAGTACAATAGTTGGTGATTTTATTGGCTCTGGTTCAGTTTTTCAAAGCCTTCTGCTCTTTAATAGACAAAGTTCCTTTGGGAGATCTGTAGATACAGCCTCTTGAAAAGGTTTACAGGTGTTGTAGCTTGAACATAAAATGTCCCTCATAGGCTCGTGTAGTTGAACACGTGGTCCCTAGCTGTTCTGAGAGGTTGTGGAACCTTTAGGAGGCCAAGCCTCACTGGAGGAAGTGTGTCACGGGGTGGGGGTGGGGCAGGCCTTGAGGCTTTATATCCATTTCCTGTTCACTCTCCGATTCCTGAAGGCAGATGGGATGTGACCAGCCAAGCTTGCTCCTGCCACCATGCCTTCCGTGTCCTACCATCACTCCTTTCCCACCACCACCATCTTGTCAGGCTATTTTGTCACAGCCACAGAAGAGTAAGATACCAGGGCACCTGCCCTCTCAATGACTCAGATACAGAGGGATCTTGCTTTCTTAATTACAACAGTGCACTGAAATATGTATCTACAACTCCCCTTACTGATTGTCTCCTGTCATATTCTGTCCTCCTGGATCCTGTGAAGTTCGGAAAGCATTGCCTCTCACTGTAGGTATAGTAGAATGGACATAGCATGGACTTCTGGATCAATCAGGCCTGTGGCATTCAACTGACCTCATACCTCTCTATCTTGGTCTTCCGCATGTTCTGAAAGAAAGATGCTGCAGGCAGTGCTACCTCATAAAATGGTTAAGGATGTTAAATGAAATGCTACATGGGACATGCTCAACACAGTGCTTTGTACATAGTAACCCTTCAGTGAATTGTCCCCATGCCTAGTTTCAGAAGGGTTAGTTTCTATTCATCTTTAAAACTCACCTAGGTGGTAAAACACAAAACAAAAACCAAACTTTTTCTTCTAACAACTTGAAACTACAACCACCTTACTAATACTTCCTCCCACTCCTTCAATGGAAACACCCACTGAGGAGTGGATCATCTACAAAGATGTGAGTACCGAGTACCTATCCAGGCCCTTTACTTTCTCTTGTCTCCATTGTTCCAGTGGCTGCTGCTGTTACACTCGAAGCCCTTCCTCCGCAGTGCTGAGACTCCTCACCTAGGGCCAGGCTTCAGCTAGAGGGGTGCAGCCAGAAGGCAAGGTGGCTTCTGGCCATGACTGGAGTAGTTCAGTTATCTAACCATTCCCCTTATCCTCTCTGCTTGGGTATACTGTCATGGTTATTTGCTCCTGAACTCTTGCCATGGTTCTTAAATCGACACTCAGTGTCTGGGCAGGGTGGCATCCCAGCTAGGGAGGTGAAAGCAAGAGGGTCAGGAGTTCAAGGCCAATCTGGGGTTCATGGAATTTTTGTCTCAAAAACAAAACAAAACAAAACAAAACAAAAAACTAACCAACCAACCAACCAGCAAAAACAAAAACCAAAACCAACAAAAACCTACAACAACAAAACAAAAAACCACCACCACAACAAAACACCTAAACCAACTTTTTGTTAACATCGTTTATATTGACTCAGTTTTGCCCAAGAGCGCTCTCAAAAACACAAAGCAAATTATGCCAGTCTCTACTGGAATTCAATGACTCTCCATATCAAGTTCAAGTGACCGAGCCTGTGCACCCTAGTCCTTGCTTACCTGGGGTGATTAGCATTAAGTGTTCAGTAGTTTGTTTTCTGGACAGAAAATAATGGAACAAAATGTACAGTCTGTCCTTTAAAGCCATGCTGGTTTTGTGCATTTCTCTTCCAGGTGCTGCCACTTTCCTGATTGTGTATTGGCGTGCTGTTTTTCCAAGTCCATGGAGTCTTGTTTGCTGTCTGGCTCAGAACTAATTCTTCAGATATGTTTTTGTTGTTGTTGTTGTTGTTTTTCCTGCCTCCTCAGAATCTGTGAGGGGTCCTAATTTGGTGTTCACTGCAATTTTGGTAATGCACAGGACATCCTCACCGATGCTTGCTGGCATTAGAGCACCCTAGGTGGTGCATTCTGAGGGGCACCTCCTGCAGATTGGCTGTAGCCCCTCCTTTTGATCTCTGCTTTTGTTTCCTTTGGGTGCTGGTCATTGGACTCAGGACCTTGTACATGCTAAGCAAGTGCTTCACCAGTTATGCTGCATGCCAGCCCTTGCCCTCTGACTTCTCAACAGCTCAGTTAGCACTGGCTGGCTTCACTGAAGGTCCCAGAGCTCAGAGTTAAGTGTCTTCCAGACAACAATGACGACCCAGAGGGGTTTGCTGTAGGGTTTTGGCGTAAGTTCTAGTTCTACAAGATTTTTTTTTTTGATCCTAAGTAGATATTGACTTTTTATTACATTTAATTATTTATGGACGTGTGTGTGTGTGTGTGTGTGTGTGTGTGTGTGTGTGTGTGCGCGCGTGCGCGCGCGCGTCCTTGTGAAGGCCAGAGAACAATTTATGGATGCCATTTCTCTCCTTCCACCATGTGGGTTCTGGGAACAAAATTCAGGTTGTCAGAACCAAAAACAAAACTTGGCGGCAAGTGTCTGGGCCTCTGGAAAGTCCACTGGGTCATGGGTATTAAGGTTTTTCAGATGATTTCTGCTCCTTTTAGAGACAGCATCTTAAAGGTTTTCCTTAATTTTTAGTTTGGTGGTTATACAATCACACCTGTTTGGTTTTTCAATCAATTGGATTCATGTCCATTGGGTTATTTTATCTTTTGAACACTAGTCCTATCTTTGTCTGCCCTGATCATTTCTTCTGTACTTGGCTTGGTTTTT